AGGGAAACAGATTTCAATTATACCATGGTTACACCTAAATTTAACCCGCCTCCAACAAAACCGAAACTCTCTCTCAACTCAGCAGAAAACTCAAATTTACCACTGAAAAAGATATGTCTTTTTTTTCTGCTCCTGCTTTCTGTAATTCTTCCACACGATTCTGTAGTATCTTTATTTTGTTCTCTTTCTCTTTCAGCTGTTCCAGTTTGGAGTTTATTTCTGCCTAAAAGTTGGAGAAAAGAGGGAGAAGAAAGATTCTAGTGCCTAGTTGGGTTTTTCAGGTAAGAATTTAGCAAAAACCTGCTTTGTACATAGCAAGTGTTCATGGGTTGTAGACATATCCTCCTTATAGCTGATAAGACTAACCAGAGCCCAATGACATCTAGGTTGTCCTGAGCAGATATAGTATTTCAAGACAAACAAACCAAGCACATTTCCTGCAAGTCTTGTTGCATGTAAATTCATGGACAGGCTCACCTCAAGTTCCTCATTGTACACTTCAGCATTTGAAACTAGATTCTTTAAGTTGGTAATTTCATGCATTAGTTGTATCTGTGGAGCAAATTGAAGCAAAATTGCAGAGGATGTTAGAAAGCACCCACACCAGTAGTTTTAGTTGCCAACACCACGAAAATAAGCAAGTCTATCTTGTGTTTTCTATTAGTGGGTAAACCATATATACACACACATATCTATTTAAACAGCTACAAAACAAGTTGCTACATATTCTTTCAAAGGGATAGATGAGATGCAAAGCTCTGTTTTAGCTTCCCAATATTTACAAAGGATTCAAGTACAATTTAATCTGCAACAGCTCGAGAAGCAAGAGCAATGTGATCAAAGCAATTAATGCAGAAGTTGTACAGATACAACACTTCATATTCTAGTCACGTTAAGCAGCTTTTTATGACACAGTGCAGATATTTATGATTTAATCTATTCACTAACGAGAATAAGAAGGTGCCAAAACTGAGGTAAAGCAAGCCATGAACACACTCAGTGGCATCCTCTGCAAGGAAGCACAAGTAGACTAGATAGAAAAGCACTTCTAAAATTGAAGAACTCTTTTCTTTTGGGCTTTGTTAGAAAAGCTTGACAATAAGCACTCATCTACAAGTACTTCTGTATAGTCACAAGCACAGGTAAGGAGCAAATCCAATCTGTAATTTTAAGATCAGTGAAAAGCTTTAAAACAAGCACTCTCCCGTGAGTATTGCTATATAGTTAGGAGTATAGCAAGAAGAACACCCAATCTGTAATCTTAAAATCAGAGGACGGTTGTAGAAGATATGGTACAATACTACTGTCAGAAGACATTTAATGTCATTATTAGAATAATATTTGAGTTTACCTTCATATATCTGGAGTGATTTAAATTGATGGATATTATCTAGTGTAGAAGTATACGACCTTTCAGCATTGCTGTAATTAATCTGCTACATGGGTATCAACAAATGCTTACATTTTATGGACTGTCTTCAGATATGCATCTGAAAACACTAATCACTCAAAAAGCAATTCTTGTAATAGAAGCTACCTGAGAACATTGCATTTGTTATCAGATACAGTTTTCCCTGCAAAGTTTTTGTGTAACTGAGGATTTTTTGAATGTTGGCTGATAAGGAAGATGGCACAGTTAGTCTAGCATACAAAGGGTCTTCTAAAAAGAATCTTAAATACAAGCTAAATCATAATCTATTATGGACCCATTTTGTTTAAGGTCCATAAATCTTTGTAGGGAACACAATGGAAATGAGAAGTGCTCTTGTTAAATTGAACCTGAAACAACAATGCAAAAGGATGTAACTTCAGCTTCAACCTTAGTTTCACGGTCAGAGACTATTAAACAGACTAGCACGTACAAGCAATCTGCAGAGAAGATAGCAGG